ATCCTGATCTGGAAAATGTTGAAGGGTGGACAGAATGACAGAGCTCAGTTTTGGCCCCCTCCGCCTCCTTTCCTTTGCACCCTCTGCTGTTAGCTTCCTGACAACCTCTTGTTGATGCTTTAGCCACCTCAGGAGTCCTAGATTTTGGAAAGCATCCTAATGACAGCCAATTTAACCCCCCCACACACACACACACCTTTCAGCAGCACCATCTGTACAGCAGCTGCTTGCCTATCATCCCCGAATCACACACTCCTTTTTGCTCTGTGCTAAGAGGAACAATCTAGTGTCACACTTTATACCACACAAACTAAGATCAGTTTGGTGTTTGCTTTGAGGGGAAATTATCAAGCATGATCCTGCTTGTCCACAACTGTGTCAAGGAACAAGAGAGATGTGCTTTTTGTGGAGTTAAACTGCTTCTGATCTGCCCACAATACTATGACTTTTCTTTGCATTTGCTAATAACTTCAATATCAGATAGGCGTATGGGCCTTGGATGTTTCTGCAGAAAAAAGAATGGGCCATCTAAGGTTAGACTTCCTCCTTCAAGGGCAGACCCTTGGAGGGAGAACATCTCAGCTATCCTCTAGTTTCTGGGATTCCCTTGTAGAGATCACAGGATCACAGTTTTCAGTTCTTCACAATACTGCTGTATTTGTTCAATCTGTATCCTATCTTCCTTAACAGGAGCTTAACTTTTAATCTTACTTAACACAGGTAAGACTGAGTGACTGTGGTTAAAACCACCCTGTGAGTTTTTGAACTAACCAGGGATGTGTAGTTCTCAATCTAACTGCAACAAGCCAGCAGTTAACTATGCTTTGATGTTCACCATGGATCCATGCCTCTGTGTAAACTGTGAGGTAGGTGTTGGGAGAATGATGAGTACCCCAACAACCTCTGTTTTTTTAGCTTTGGGCTTTGCTGATAAGGAGCTGGGAATAAGATAGTTTGGCTTCTCATAGGACAAACTGTTCACAAGCAAAGGAGGGAGTTCATGTGGAATTGGCATCAAAACTTCCAGGAGAATACGTCAAGATCAGAAAGAATTCTGGTGAGAAGAAGCTGAGCAGTGAAGGAGCTGGCTGGCAGCTAAAATGGACTAGGCAACTTTAGTAGCTGTTGAAGTTAGATTACATACTGTTGTTTTCTATCCAGAGTAAGGTCGGCTAGTAAATCTAAAAATGGACTGAGCACTTGACACTAATTAGGATTTATGAGGCAGTGGATGGGATTGGGAGAAGTCTCACTGAAGTGTCCCCAGCAACTCTGGGAAGAAGAGTGTTGAATGGAAAAAGCATTGTGAGAACACACACGGCCAGATGACCCCAGGGTTTGACTGGGGTTGAAAGTGACAGAAAATAACAAGATCATAGAATTGCCTGCCAGAGAAATAACCAGCCATCACCCTGTCATCTCTTCCACTTGAGAGTGGATGGTAAAATGCCAGTTAATTAACTAAGCCCTTTCCTTAGAGTGGTAAACAGGAGCAGTGCTAGGAATTAGGGACCAGGGGAGCGCGGGCAGGGAGCATATATGTTAGGAACCAACATATTTTAGGCTCACATTATATAATGTTAAGATTGATTTAGTTAGAATGCTTTGGAGAATAAATGCAAGTCTACAGAAAAAAATAATAACTCATTGTGTCAGGCTATAAATTGGGTGGTGGGAAATGGTTTGCTAAAGAATGTAAACAAATAGCAATTCTGAAACTGATAAAAAGTAAAATTACTTACAGTATGTATTCTGAAATGGCTTGGCTTATATCCCAACTGCTTATTTCTTTATTAAAAATGTTATTATGTTTCCAAAAAAAGTTAAAATACAGAAAAATCAGGAAAGAGGAAGGGAAAAAAAGAAAAAAAAGAAGGGGGAAGGAGGGGAGCATAAGAAAGAAAGAGAAGGTTCCGACTTTCCTTGGTGCAGGTATAGATACAGAATATATTCACCTCTTACTCTAATATCTAAAAGTTTACATAGTAAAAAATAGTTTTTCATCTAATATTCAAGACGATTCCCAAAATCAATGTATTTAATGTATATAAATTATATAAGATATTTCTGTAAGTATAACATCAATCAGCAAATCCCAAAATCAAAGTAGGATTTTTTTGAATTAAAAAAAATCAACGCATAATGTCTAAGAGTAGTTTCCAATTAGAGACAAAGTTAGACAGTGCCCTGTCCCAACTGCTTATTTCTGTCTTTGTCTTGAATAATATAAGAGAAAAACCTGGAAACTGTGTGGTCTTGCCCTGTCTCTATCAGATTTGAACCCTTATCTGTGCAACCCCAGGTCACTAACCCTTTAACCACTGAACTGAACTGATTCTTCAAGTATGATAACATTGCAGAATTATGCGTTATAAATCAGCCAGCATTCATGCCTCGATCTCCAATAGGATGATTTTATTTTATTTTATTTTATTTTATTTTATTATTTTATTTATTTTTATTGTGTTGTGTTGTGTTGTATTGTATTGATTTTAGTGCTTCTGCAAACCTCAGAATTTTTCTAAAATTGCTAATAATCTCTCTGGCACCATATGGATCCACATTGGGAGACTGAGTTTGCTATTACCACACAGCATGATTATATTCCAAGTCTTGGTTTGTACAAAGCAATTCTGACTTGGTATCATTGCCTTCACTCCTCTAATACATCAGACTCTCATTTTATGCCATGAGGGATAGGAAGGAAGAGTGGTTCCCCCCCTCTTTTTAGGATAAACGATCTTGGCTTACATTAATTCTTCTACCTATCCCTTTTGCTGACTTTTATTGGAATGCTACATGCATCAGTTGGCATATCTAACATCTGGAAAAAAAGCAGACAGCGGCTATCACGGGGGCAAAATGCTCATTAGTTTTTAAGTGCTAAAAGAAATAGTTTTTCAAAGTGCTACTGAAGCTAAATAGCTGGGTTATCCATCTAAATAACATCAAGTTTGTGTATTTTCTTCCTGGGTTTTGAAAATCAGGAGGCCCGGTGAAGCAACTATTCCAAAAATGGGCTTTTAGAAGACATTCAGACAAAAACTACGGATTGTTTATATATTGGAAGAATTGCCTAGGCAAGTTCTTCTTCAATATCTATACATGCACACCAACTGAACTTTTCCTTTCTTCACGTTCCCCCCTTCTTATGTCTGCCACCCTCTGCCTCATTCTTCTCTACTCTCCCCATTTTCTCCATGGCTTTTGGCCTGAAGATTTAGGCATCATTTGAATGGAAAGCTATTAGCTCTGCCTCGTCACCCCATTTCCAGGGCACTAATAACTCATCCCGTGCTCCTTCCCTCACATGCTGCCTGTCGGCTTTAATAGCTTGATAGATCGGATGGTTTGGCTTGTTCCTCTGCATGCCGATTCAGGCACAAAGTTTTAATAATTAGCCACATAAATATAAGCATTTGTAACAAGCACACGAGCTTTTCCTTCACGAGCAAGTCTCTGCTGGAGCAGCAGTTTGGATATTAGCTTTGTATGAATATGATCAAAATAGGAGGAACATGAGGCTGTTACAAAGGGGGAACTAACACATTTCTGTGAGCCAAGAAAATGGCAGGGCAGGAGTATTGATAAACAGTCAAGACAACTTGCAAAGTTACACACACACTATGTGAATGCACTGCAACAGAGCAGATCTTTCCCGTGTAGTATTAATATGGAAGCATGGAAGATATTCCTCTTAAAGAAGTGGCCATAGCTTCATTAAGCTATGGTGCTCTGCGCACAGAACAAGACCAGATAAAACCGCTCTGGTAGCAGGGCTGGAGACTTTTGCTGGAACTTCACCCGCTGCTGCCAGGAGACAGGAATGGTTTAGAAAGGCTGAAACTGTCTGAATATAAAGTATCTTATCCACTCAAAGTCAGTCCATGTTGCTATGGGGCTGATCCCTTCCTGTGCTATGGCCTGTCAAGGATAGGCTCGGCCTTCACATTTCAGTATATGTTGGTTTCCAGATTCAGGTGTGAACTTAAATAAAACCCTGAACTCTTCTGAAATGGACAGGAGGGTGGAGACATTAAGACTACTGTGGTGACAACATTATCAGCTTTTTCTCAAAAGCTAAGTTTTAAACAATACTGTATACCACTTTCTCTAAGCAGCTCTACAATTAGGTTTTGCATCAACAGTATTTCTCTCAAGAACCAAGAAAAAAAGTGGATTTTTATTACTTAACGATTATGCAGGTTTACAGTAAGTACAGTAAGGTACTTCCCATTGAAATGGGTTAGTATAGACCAAGACATACACACAAACACCCACCTGTCTTGGTCTGTGGTAACCTCTATCTATCTATGAACGAGAGCTAGTTTGGTGTAGCAATTAAAGACACTGTTGAAGCCAGGAGACAGTGAGTTCTGGCTGGCTGGCTGGCTGACCTTGGGCCAGTTACCCTCTCTCAGGTCTATATTGGGAAGTTGAAAAACATCTGTCTACCATCCTATACTGGACTAGCATGGTACAGTACTGTCCATAACCTAGAGACCTTCATTTTGCAGTGGATTGATTTAGACTGATAACAAACAAATCCACCTAGAGTTCCTCTAGTGCAGTGTTTCTCCACCTTGGCAGCTTGAAG